ACCAGCTATGGTGCATTCCTGCTTTGTCTTCTTGTAGAACTCTCGCGAGATTGATAACAAATTTTATCGGCTTTCGTATGTTTTGGCGGAGCCGTGGAACCGCCTTCATCAGCGTCTGAAAGGATCGAGACATTTTGTCATTCCGTCATCATCAAGCATCCCACTAATCGTCTCTGCGGTCCTACTGAAGTTCGACTCCAAATCAGATAATCACCCAGTCACGAGTAAGACTATTTACAGTGACCCAATCCGATCCTCGAGACCACGTACACTCGAAATCCCTGGGATGAGGTAGGCGTGGCTGCGTACTTCAACTATCCGTGGAGGGTCTTGCTTTTAGAGAGACATTTCTATTTTGGCACAATCGGGGTTGCGTCCCTGTCCAACACAGAAAAAAATGACAGTTGTTTCAAACTGAAATATCCCACGAGCAACCCATTCTATGCAGTGCTCAAAGGCCACGCCTACTCCGTCTCAGGGAGAAGGAGCGTACGTAGGCCGACAAGCTTTCCTATCAACCGTGCCGGAGTTCTGCAGTAGAAGAGCACACTGCTACCACTATGCCAAGGTTTATTGTGAGCAGCACTTGGCGATTTCAGGTCAAGTCGGGATCTCCTAGAGGAGCGAAGCTCACGAAAATCATGGAAGCTGGAGAACTGGTTCCACTGGTAAATGAATCCCATCATTTTGTCTCACCATTGGTACAGTCCTCTGGTTTATTTAGGAAGTAGTTCTTGATCTCATCAAAGAAGCGATGCTGAAAGAAGTTGCTAAAGGTTCCAAAGGCTTCTTGATCGATGGTTACCCTCGAGAAGTGAAGCAAGGGGAACAGTTTGAAAGAGAGGTTAGTTTTATCGGCTCTTTCGTGACTTTGACCCATTTCCAACTGTCTGTAGTTGGTTTCTGATTTCTTCAGATCCAAGAGGCGAAATCGGTGATCTTTTTCGATGTATCGGATGACATCTTGGTTCAGCGACTTATGCATAGAGCCAAAACAAGGTTCATCAAAATCACTTATCAAAAATAGGTCGAAGTTCTTAAGAACCGCCTGGACGCCTAATTATTTATTTATTTACTTAATTTATTCAATTCCTCTTCTGGACCACCAACAGGACAGGAGAACCTTTTTGGGGTGAAGGTCGGCCTTTGGGGTGGCTTCTGGCTGTTCTCCTTTGTCGACCCACTGCCGCTTCCTCACAGGGTTATCGTAGAGGACCCACTTCTCATCTCCAGTGATCATCGAGTTGTCCTTCAGAGGCGGAAGTTTCGATTTTCCAGCAATGAGATGAGTTCCGGTTTCCGAAACGAGGTATGCACAAGAGGCCATTCCGGCTGAACTAGCGTCTGCAAAGAGCACTAGTGGTTACGTTTGTACCGATGTGCGCAACTTTCCTTGGGATTGAGATCTGAAATCCGTTAACGTCACGCACAATTTTTCGCCATTCTTCCTGGTGCTCTGAGGAGAGTGGTGTGTCCCAGTCGTATCCGAACTTCCATAGTTGCTGCAGAAATTGCTTTCCCCGGAATGTGAGAGGTACAAGCAGCCCCAGCGGATCGTATATCGATGCTACTTGCTCCGAAATAGATCTCTTTGTTATCACTTCCGACGTGTTCCGATAGTTACATGACAGGAGCAGTTCGTCAGTATCGGACTGCCACGGTATACCGAGAACTTTCTGAAGGATGTTGGAACTGAGGTCCGTCGGTGCTATGGGGGCGTTGAGGCTTCCATTATTAGAGGAACTCCCAATAATTCACGTTGAGATCGCTGAGCAGCTGTTTGGAAGCTGCGTAGAATTGCAGTGCCTCTTCCATGGAAGACGTGGAGACAATGATGTTGTCTACGTAGGTGTTGTTCGTTATCACGTTCGCTAATTAAGAGTCGTTCGAACACGTTTCTAAGTGATGTCTTATTGTACCCGCTAGTAGGAAAGGTGAACAGTTCAACCCGAACGTCACCCTTGTGAACCTGTAGGTGATGGTGTTCGCAGGTGTGACCGGTTGAGTGATGTCCCGCAGCCAAAGGAATCTGGTGGCGTCTCTGTCTTTCGGATGCAAATGAACTTGCAAGAACGCCTTCTCAACGTCACTCACTACAGCGACTTGGCCAATTCGGAATCGGAGTAAGATGTCGCAGATCTTTGGCAAGATGACGGTCCTTGAGTGGATGAGTTGTCCATTTCAGTGAGACGAAGCATCCGAAAGCTATGAGTTTCGATGTCTTTTTTGATGGGGTGTGAGCTGCATGGTGGCGAGGTAGTGAAATTGGTAACCTTTTCGGTCGATTCGATCTCGTCTCGTCTCGTCGATTTCTTCAATGATTCCTTTATCACGTTGACTACAGATTGTATCGGGATACTGAAGCAGTGTAGCGGGTTCTTCCTTGGCAGTTGGATTCTCTATCGCGCTGTAGCGTTGAACAGGATCTGGCTTTATTGTCTGGAAGTCGTTTAAGCGTCCATTTCCAGGAAACTTCCACGGTAATTGCCATACATTCTTTTTTATCCATCTCTCTTTTTTCTCGATCGTTTGTTCGAATGTCTTCCATACCTCTTGATCCAATTTCTTGCGCTCTTCGACGGTAGGTCCTAGGAACTCGTGAACTCCTGTAGACTCGAAAGTACAAAATTGTTCCCAGGTTTGTGCGTCGTCCAGGCTGTCGTCCAGGCTCTTAACGGCCGGTATTGGCCGCTAAGATTTCTGCCGCGTCGTGCGGCCGTTCTGCATTTTTCGCTTTTGAGGTCGTTTCGTGTCCCGACACTAGATATCCTACCTTGGATGGGATGAGTGTCAGTCCTGAAGGGAGGGTCTTCTGTTCCGCAAACCCTCCTCCAAGGAAAGCGTAAAGGTGAGCACATCCAAGCAAGACTTGGGGTCGTACCTCCGTAATATCCGCGTTTATGGACAAGCGAATATTATTGTCGTATAGGAAACGCCTGTCGTCCTCGCTGAGACTACGTCTTAAAATTGGTTCCGTGACAGTATCGATCTTGGTAACCGTTAGTTCATGACACTTCCCGTGGATATTCCATACGTGTAGTTGAGTGATTCCGCAAGTTTGTTGCAGAGGATGTTTGGAGCCGAATGTGTTGATGGCCAATTTCACGGAGCTGCTTTCTCGCCGTTGTAAGCGATCCGCCAGTTCCTTGCATATGAAAGATCGATCAGCTCCAGTGTCAAGTAGGACATGAACAGGTTCTAAGGTTTGGTCCTTTGGATTCAGGACATGTGCTTGTCCTGCGAGGATGTGGACATCAGCTATGCTTCGTTGGAGGTTGACGAAGGCAGCTGCTTTCGGCACAGATTCTTCTGTTTGTTGTGGATCGGATACCACTGTGTGCATCTTGGACGGGGTGGATGATTTCAGAACTTTGGAGTGGCCTTACTTGGCGTCGGTGATTTCTTGGGTTCGTGGGTGGTGGATGGTTTCCGTGATGACGAGAAGAGTTGCGGGCAAAGAGAGGTGTGGTGACCGTGTAATTTGCATAGTCTGCAAGACCCTCCTTTGCACTGTACAGCCCAGTGTTCTGTTGATCCGCAATTGAGGCACATATTACGCCTGCGCATGAATGCATATCGCTCTTCTCGAGTGACTACTTCGGTGCAGTCTTTTGCCGAATGGTCCTTTTTACTGCAGTAGAAGCAGGAGTATTGACGTTCCGAAGATGAAACAATGCTTCGCCCTGAGGGGGGACTCCTCCTGTCTGCTGCTTGCTCATGGGCTGGTTGCGGATCACGCTTTTTCCCCACGCGTATTACGATTTTGAGTTCCGTTCTAATATAATCCTTCGCGCAATTCAGCAGTGTGGTAGCGTCCCAGTTATCGTTCTGGGGCCGCTGTTCCTTCGCTCGCAGAACATTGCGCTGGATTCCCTCCGTGAATTTGCCCAGAAGTTGATCTTGCAAGAAAGAATTGTCAATGTTCTCCCTTTTAGTTGGAGCTGCGACACAATGGATGACAACTCTTCCAAAAGTTTCTCTTGGTGCTCTAGACGTTCGCTCTGTGCACGGGCTCTGTATAGTCTGCGTATCAGGTGATCGACTAGAGCCTGTGGATTCCCATATTTTTCTTTCAGATGAGCGACGACAAGGGGGTAAGTTCGTCAGAGATCTCAAACTGTTTGACGGATTCTCTGGCCTCGCCTTGCAGAGCATCTAGTAGATAATTCATTTTGTATAGATCATCAATTTCCCGAGAATCCACGGAGTGATGAAAGGCTCCCCAGAAAGTGTCCCATTCCCATATGCGTCCGCTGAACTTTGGTATGGGAATCGGCGCCAACTTCATCTGAGGTGCTTCTGTAGAAGCCGCATAGTCGTTCTGGTTCAAGGGTCCCTCAATCTCCTCAAGCTCTGCTAAGAGATGGGCCAAATTGGTGAGCATGGCGCGCCCGTTGTCCAAAATATTTGAAGCCGTCTCGACATTGGAATTGACCTTCCTGAGGATTTCGTCCAGGGCTGGGGTGTCAGCTTCTAGGCTGTCGGCTACCGTGGTATAACTCTCCAGAGCGTTGTCGACGTTGAGTATTTCGGATTCCAGAATGACCTTCGTCTTTCGAATCCTTGACCGTTCCGTTTTCACATATGTTTTCCGTTCATGATCCTCGGCTGGAGGCTGCAGAGTCGCTGTTGCCCAGTCCCCATTGTTCTCTAATGTGGCAGCGAGTCGCTTAACCGCTTTCGTCAAGAGCCTCTGCTTAGTGGATAGTGTAGTGGTCATGCTCGTGCTGTTAGTGAAGCGTTGAAGCAATCCGTGTCAATTCGGCGGACAATCGGCATGCACGGACAGGACAGGGTGGAAGACTGTGATACTACTCACTTCCTTTGCTTCAGTCAATCAGTCACGAGTTGAGTGTCGAGCGGCCGGATCCAGTCTCCTTGTTAACTGTTCCTCGATCGCTCCTCGATAACGGTTCTCGACCCGTCTTTCAAGGACCGATCGAGGACCGGTCGAGGGCAACTGTCCTCGATCGGTCCTTGGCAACGGTCCTCGATCGCTTTCCTGCAACAGTCCTTGATCGTTTAGGCACGATGCACCATGTGTCAGTGGTTCAGTTGACACCTCAAACTTGGGTAATTAAACTGTATTCGGTAAAATGATTACATATATAAAAGCAAGGGTAAAACGCTGACAAGCGAGCCCCTTTTATTCTGTCTAAGTGGGCAGAGCTCGCCGAGAAATGTTAGATGTAAGCATGATAAGCTCAATGTTTCTACAGCTAAGTTGCAATGTTATGACATTCCATGAGCGGTTACTGATAACGTTATGCAAGTTACAGAGCGTAAAGCTACGAAATAGAGATCCAGGATCCTCTATAACGGTTATCCCTCAATAACTCCATCTGCCAAACCAATGCTCAGTTTTCCATCTGCCAAACCAATGCTCAGTTTCACTTTACTCCTCCATTTCGTGGGGTTTTTCGGGTGCGTTTTGAGGGTTTTTGTCCTCGGCACCGTTCACTTCGGCGAACGCCCCGCCCATCAGGGCTGTGCTTCATCGATTTCGTCCGCCAACTGATTGCCTATCGTTTGTTTGCCACTTCTCCCACTCTCCGAGCTCTTTTGGAACCGAACTACGAATTTTTGAAAGTTTCGTAGCAAGCACCGCCCACCTATAGAACGCCCCGCCCAGAATGGGTTTGTCTCACTCATTTCGTCCGCCAACTGATTGCCTATCGTTTGCCACTTTTTCCACTCTCGGGGCTCTTTTGGAACCGAACTACGAATTTTTGAAAAATGTAGCTCACAACTGTGCGCACGCCCCGCCCACAGTGGGCGGGGCTTAGCTTAGTTCATGTGTGTTCCGTACATCTTGGCCCATGCCCTACCCAACCCACCCTTGACCCGCCCCCTCCAACTGGCTCTTCAGGTGATTCCGAATTTCCGGACAGACAGACAGACAGACAGACAGACAGACAGACAGACAGACAGACAGACAGACAGACAGACAGACAGACAGACAGACAGACGTTGCCGTTTATATATAGTAGGATGTGCGAATTCCCGAAAACGATGTGCTTCGAAGTCCAAGCAGAAGGGTCACGGGACTGGAGAGGTGGACGCGGAGCCGGCTATTCTTCGTCTTCTTCGCTACTCACTCGATATTCTTGCGAGCTCTCCAAGCTACCCTTAACTCTCGCGCTAGGTCGTTATCATGATAATTTTCCAACGGATATCCGCTCAAGGTCGTATTTCCAACGGAGTGACTTCGTGAGGATATCCGTTCCGTTGAGCGAGAATGAGGCTTCAGAAAAAAGCTCGTTCCTCATGGACATCGTCTCCGTCAAATTCCAGCTGCAAACCGACTTCACCACATGCACAGTCGAGATCAGCCAGCACTAGCTCTGCTTGCTGGACGTGTTATAGAATGATTTCGCCAGGAAAGCGGGAGCGCTTCCATATCTTCCATTACCTGTTGACCCATGAGCTTCTCGGGAGAGACGGTACAGTATTT